AAGGCATTGAGGCCCGCCGAGTAGGACAGGTAGGGGTCGGAGAGGGTCGAGCCGACCAGGTGAGTGGTATGAGCCGAGGCATTCCCTCCCTCGTGATCGGAATGGATGACGAGGTACAGGCGCATGAGCTCGTCGAACTCGGGTTTATTGTAGCCCAGACGCCGGGCGAAATTGGCGGAGTAGTCCAGGGAAGGATCCTTGCTCCCGACAGACCCGTCTTTGTACGTGTTGCTGAACACCAAAGCTGCGAGCTCTGGCAGCTTGGCCCATACGTCCAGGATGTCTTCCAGCGTGTGCTTCCAATATTCCTTCTTGTGAACGCCGCTCGCGTAGGCCGCCGCAAATTTGCTGTCCTTCTGCAGAGCCATGAGGCCCACGACCAACTGGCTCATCGGGTGGAGCGACTTGGGCAAGGACTTGAGGAGCGCGACCACGTGCTGGGGGATCTCGGAACGCTTGTAAAGCTCATGCGTCAAGGAGTCCGCTTCTGCCTTGGTAGGGATCGTGTCTGTGAGCATCAGCCAGACCAAGGCCTCTGGGGTGGGTTCTCCCTGTCCGGCAGGCCCTTTGAAGGTGGGGAGCTTCTGCTGCAGCTCCGGGATCGAATAGCCTCGGAAGCGGATGCCCTCTTGCGCGTCCAGGAGCGAAGTTTCCCAGAAAAGAGACTTGATGTCTCGCCCGCCCCCAATGCATTGATCCACGGTTACATCGCCGATGACCTTGTGTCCGTGCTCTTTTTTCAGAGCGACGAGCTCGGCTTGCTTGACGGGCACAAGCTCCGTGAGGGTCTCCTGAATGGATGCCATACCCCGCGTGGCCAGTGACTGCAGCAAAACAGAGAATTGGGAGTGAGGGGAGGTCAAGGTCAAAACAGAATATGAATCAACGCATCTTCGGAGGCACGTCATGACAGAACAGGGAAGTCGAGATAGAGAGCAAGCCGCCCGGGAACTACATATGAATATGAGAAGAATCATCGATTTTCCGGCTCCGGTGTGAGAGGGAAAACCCAATTAGAGCTTTACTCCCTTCGCTATCAAGAAGCGGAAGGCATATGACTCCCGGCACGAAGAAAGAGGAGGACATTTGAAGCGTTCCGGATGGGAATGAGCCTCCGCAACATACCCTGCACAAAGCAAATCGATAGCCCCAGACCCGTGAAAGTTGCTTTTTTTTATTTTTTCCCACCCAACTATGAGAAGCCTACCTTCATGGATGGAGCCACGGTATTGCGGAGGCGACGGGACATATGCGTGATCATGGTGACCGTTGTTTGCTGCGTGCTGCTGCGAGTCTGTTGAATACGGAGGCGGAGAAAGTCTGTTGCAAGAGAAGCCTTGATTACGGGGACAAAGTGGGCACATTGACACGCAAAAAGGGTCCAGGTCGACCTTTAAACATCATCTCTGCGGTCACATTCAACGATCGCGAGCGGTGAGCCGTGCAAGTTTGGGTTTTATGGTCGGTTCGGGCATTGCGGCGGCGGAGCGAGGGTATCTCCCTCTCGAAGTGCTGGAATTCCTCCTCCCTCACGGCACATGCCGTAACCGACACGAAAAGACCTAAACACAGCACGTGACGCCTTCCCGCGGCCACCGCGTCTGTGAACACCGTGCTGAATCTCCGTGCACCACCCCAAGCGGGCAAGGCAAGGGGCCACCCCGAAGTGTTCGTGCTTTCTTCTTGGTTCCTTTAAGCGAATAGGGCGATGGAGAGAGATACTTCCCTCACCTCGCAGGCCCGCCGCTGCCGACCGCAAATTGGAAAAACTGGGCGCATGCGCGGTGTCCTCACCCCCGTTAAGGTTCACATGGGTGGCATGCCTCGTTCATATGGACGCATGTGGGTTTATGCACAGTTGCAGCAGCGCATGAGTGTAGACAACGGGGTAAAAGTGTAACAATCCCTTGTCTGACATTCCAAGAGGAGCGACCTCCAGAACCGTCTCGACCTCAGCCTCCCACCTACTTATTGCACGCCACGAGCCACGCTAATCCCAACACTATGGTACCACAACACCCTACAGCCCCATAAATAATGCGTAGCACGACAAGCGACCAGGCGGACGACGGAGTGTCCGCGCCCCCGCCCGAAACTGAGGAAGAAAACACGCCCCCGTCCGGAGGGGATATTGAGGGTGTCGAAGAGACTGAGCCCGCAGCGAACGGAGACGGGGCCACGGAGGCCCACGACCCTGGCAATGACAATAGCAGCGGCAGCAAAAAGAAGAGCGAGGCGGTGGAAACGTCGGATGCGGACGGGCAGCCGGCAACCAAGCGGCGTAAGGGCGATGAGATGAGCATTCCTACAGCGTTGGAGGGGTCGCCACCTTCTACGTCCACGGCAACGCCAGACGGGGAAGACAAGCTGAAAGAGGCCGAGGATATCATGAAATCTATCATTGAGAAGCAAAGAGAGCTTCAAGAAGCAAAGGAAAAAGCACAAAAGCGTCTGAACGAGGTGCGTAGTAGATATCACACGGGTAATTGGAGGGGAAGGAAGGGAAAGGACGTGTATAATTGAGGCTTTCCAGTGAACCGATTCGTCTCCTCGCTGCTTCTCTTGGTCTTTCTGGAATGCCCCCCCCCGGTTTTGTTCTTGATGCGTTCCTTCTGGCATGGTGCTGAGGTCTCTGGTACGGCGGCCCTCGGATCTCCCTCTCCTCTCGCCTCCAGTCACGTCCCGTGTGCCCCTCCCGCACTCTCCCTGTCCTCCCTCTCCCGTCCGTTCGCTTATCCTTGGCATCGGCAATGGCACGAAGCTCATCCGCTACTTCATCTCGCCTCGTTAGTGTCGGCATGCGTCCTCGAAAGCTATGCCGGTCGGATGAGGAGACCCAGTGCAGATGCCGCCCTGCTGGCTCTCTCTGGGGGATACTGCCGGCGTCTCGGCAAGAGAAAGGGCCAGGAGATAAGAAGACAGCCGTTTCCGCAGCAACCGCGAAAGTGAGCCCTTCTAGTCTGGTCACCGTTGCCGCACTCTTTCCTAGTCGGGACCGCCCTCGCCTCGACGTTGACCATAGCGCCTACCCAAATCGGCCCCGACAAGGAAGCATTCGTGAGTCGTGTTTGAATCTATCGCCGCTCATGTATTTCTCCCTGTCCACATATCACTTCACCACAGCAACTTTCGGCCACGCGCGGGAAGCCCCTGGCCTCTGCAACGAAAACCTCCGTCCTCCCCTCCCCCTCCCCTTCCTCCACGGAATACTATGCGTCTGCCGTGCAGGCGGCCACTGCGGGTATATCCTCCCCTCGAGCCCCCCTTCCTAGTACGACCCCCCCTGTTATGGGAGGAGCGTCTGGGGCAGGCGCCAGACCGGCGGCCAGTAACGATGCTTGTCGCATCTACGTGGGTAGCTTGCACTACGACCTGAAGGAAGACGACATCAGGAAAGTCTTCGCGCCCTTTGGGGCGATCCGATCCATCAATATGTCGTTCGAGCCCGGCACGGGACGGAGCAAGGGTTTTGCGTTCGTGGACTTCGAGCAGGCGGAAAGCGCAACCATGGCGCTCCAGACCATGAACGGCTTTCAATTGGCGGGGCGGACCTTGAAGGTGGGCAGGCCGACGCCGGGAGGCAGTGGAGGGGCGGGAGGACGGCAACAGGGGCATCAGCAACAGCTGCAGCAGTCCGCGGTATACGGGGGTTTGCCGGGAGCTGGATTTGGAGCACAGCGGGTCGGAGGGGGAGGGGGAGGCGCTCGCGTCTACGTGGGCTCGATTCCCTTCGAGGTTTCGGAGGAGGTGGTACGCGGATTATTTCAATCATTCGGCAAGATACGCTCGTTTTCTCTCTTGCCCGACCCGCAGATGAATCCAGGAAGACTGCACCGAGGGTACGGCTTCATTGAATTTGACAGCGAGCAGGCGGCAGCCACGGCGATCCAGACCATGCAGGGCTTCGAACTGCAAGGACGGGCGATGAAAGTGGGTTGGGCAGCCCCCGTGGGGGGAAGCGGGGGAGCGCCACCGGCAAGCGGGGCGCCGAGCATGGCAGGAGCGGGCACTTACGTGCAACAGCAGCAAGCGCTCAATTTGTTGACGGGACAGTACTACGGGCAGGGGGTGATGCCAGCGGGGATGTACGCGCCCCAACCCCAGCAACAACAGCAGCAACAACCGCCCGCTTTGATGTATCAGCAGCCCCAGCACCAGTATTTGCAACAGTACCAACAGATGCAACAGCAGCAACCGCAGCCACAAGGCCAACCCCAGGGGCAGCAACAGCAGCAGCAGCAACAACAGCAGCAGCAGCAGATGTACTACGCCCAAAGCGCTGCGGCCTACGGCCCTGGGAGGTCTTAAGTGCTTAAAAGAGAAAGAAAGATAAGCAGGGCTGTGGGAGGGATTCGAGTAGCGGGTAAGCTGATCTCTTCTATCGCAAAAAAGATTGAGTCACAGACAATTAAGGGGTGGGAAGCGGCGTCTGAAGCAATTTCAGTGCTGAAGCCAGGGCTCGGCGTTGACAGCGCTAGTGGTGCTGGAGTGAATGACGCGATACTAATCTGTAATGAAAGCTGTCACTGAACTTCACGGATATCAGGCACACGTGTGTGTGACGGGAAGATGTGAGGTTGGAAGCTAGCGGTGGGCTGGAAACATGTTTTATTTCAAAATTCCTTTTAAGAGCTGGCACTTTTTCATTTTCATCTTTAACTTTCCCATCTCCACTCCACGACTGTAAGCCTGACGTACCCGCACTGTTAGCTGACAAAGTAGTTATGAAATCCTCCGCTAGAACATGGACTTCCCCGCCTATCGTTCCTCCTCCCACTAGAGCCCCTTACAAGGAGGCCGGCCTCTTACAATACAAGATATACAAGGAAGCAGTGACCGTGATGGTATAACTCAAAAACGCGCCAGCCAGCGCCGCCCTACTGACACCACGGCCATCGCTCACGCTCGTCACCAGAACCCACACTATCCTTACAACCCACCAAAACAGGCACATGCTCACAACGTTCAAAGCACGCTGAAACCATGTCAAAGGTGCCGCGGATGGATTCCTCCCTTTCCCCCCCGAGCTCGCCTCTACCGTCAAGTCCTCAATTGCGTCGAACATCTGCCGACGAACAAACCGGCTCAGCTCCTCCTTATTCTTTCCCACCTTTGCAGGGAGGGAATCCGGGTCGATGGGAGGCAAATACTTCATACAAACCTGCCCAGGACACGTAAAGAAGTATTTGGGGGGCCATAACTCGAAGGTTCCTTGGATGACCACCGGGGCAATAGAGGCTCTGCTCTCGGCCTGCACGTAGAATGGCCCTTTTTTAAACCGCATCAACTGCCCGGTCTTGCTGCGAGTGCCCTCCGGGCTCAAAGCTACTGCTGTGCCAGACGCACACGCGCGAGTTGCCCGCCCAAGCTGTTTGATGGCTTCGTTGCGATGCCTCCTGTCGATGGGCAATGTCGCTATCACATAGGCCAGCCAGCCTACGTAAGGCATGAGATATATATCGTCCTTGCCAATGGATTTAAAAAATTGCGGGAACGAGTCCAGGAACAAAAAGCCATCCAGATTCGAGCCGTGCTGAAACAAAACTACCAGAGGTGTGCGGTAGCCGCCTTTAGCCTTTCCCTCCTCCGTGTAGAAGACTCCAGCGAGGTAGAGGAACCCTCGTCCGACGGCCTTCTGAAAAAGTGCGTTTGTCAGGTACTGGTGCGGCCAGCCCACGAGCTTGAGGAGCGAGTCGAGAATGGGTGCGATAGTTATCATCGGGAGAAAGGTCAGGACGCCCATCAGGCAGAAGAAGACGCAACAGGTGACCATCCGCACTAGCATGTCGACACGTTGAAGAATACGTGGGAGGAAGGAGGAGGCGAGCCGCACGGGATTGAGAGAAAGCATTTCACTCTCGAAAGAATCGATAGCTGCAAGCAAAGAGTCGTGATCTGGATCATCGACAGGTAACCCATCCTGGACAGCCTGCCAGAGCATTTCAGCCTTGAAATAAAAACCACGTTTCTGCGCATTGGTTAGTGGCTGGACTTTGGAGGCGGAAGTTCGAATATCCTGCAATCGTGCCGAGAATTTCTTCGCAGATGAGGAGCTTAATGCAGCGGTAGATGAGGAGGGTGTGGTGTCGACGCTGAGAGATTGAGTGCTGGTTTCACGCGCAGAGGGATCAGAGGAGGGCCCGTTTGGACTGAGGTTGCTCTTGTCGGACGTTTCTCCTGGGGCATCACTTCTTGCGTCCTCCTGCTTCTTTGCCATGCCTTCTGACTGTCTTCAGCATAATTATTTATTCAAGGAGAGTAATGATTAGAACAGTTTTCCCTTCCACGCAACAACAAGATGTAAGGAATGATCACGATGGACGAGCAGAAGAGGACAAGTGAAGCGCGAGCCGCCGCCTTCTCGACAGTGCAAATACAAACCTAGAGAGTGCCCGACTCATGCACAACGACTACAGTCCAGCACGATTTTCTGTCCAAAATATTTAATAGTCATGCAATACGAGGAGCCTTCATTCTGCACGTCGTGCGGCGTTTCTAAGAGCGGCGGAAGGAACGTCATGACGCAGCAGGGGTGCCGCGTCGTCACGCTTTTTGAAAAGCCGTTACGGCACGTTCGCTACGTACAAAACGGGACCTCAACATGTTTGTTTTGCTATTTGCAAGGATCTCACGTCAGCATGTGGTATCTCCATAAAATTTCGATTCTCAACTTCTTTCTTGGTTACTTTTTGGGGATTAACCTCCTGTCTCTTGTCAATCCTTTGCCTCGTCTGCTACTGCCGAAGGGAGGGCCGACTCCTCTCTCTCCTCATTACGTGCTTCTTTCTTCTCCGATGCTCCGCTTAGTTCCCCCCCCTCTCCAATCGATTTCCCATCTTCTCCTTCATGCACCGCCATTCCTTCATTTGCTCCTTTTATTTCATTTTCTCTGTTCTCGCTTTTCTGCGCATCCGCTCTAGACGGTTTCTTCTCTTCATCTGCTTGCTCTTGAGCGCTTTCGGCCGATGGTGCTGCCACTGCGCCCTGGTAGGCCAATTCTTTTTCGTTGCAGCAATCTGGACACAACCAGTTGCCTGTAGGCGGTGCCACCAAGCCAACACAGTCGAGGTGAAACCATTCAAAACGACAATCTTCATTATCGCATCCCACCATCTGGCCGTATGATACACGCTGACAAGTGCAGTACACCGGTTCGTTGGGATCGACGTCATCATCTCCCTCAGTCGTGCCTTGTCCAGGCCCAACGGAGGCAACCAGCCCAAGGTCCTCTGGCAGGCCTCTCTTACCCAGCCTCTTTTTCTTCTGGACGGCAAGCTCCCTAGCGCGTCGCTTTCCCTGACGTTGTGCCTGGTCAGAAACCGGAATATTGGAGGGGTTTTGCACGTTGAATAAAAAATAGTGAAGAAGGGGGTGATGGGGGAGAACAAAGGTACATCAGTCAGTACGATGGCGTTCATGGCACGATATTCTCTCCTTAAATGGCGCCTTTCGCTGTTGGCCAAAACCTACCTTTCTTTGCTCCTTTCGCTTGATTGCAAGTATTTGCGGGTCCAGAGTACTGTAGTCCTCAGCTGCCGCTGCTGCCATCTGTGGTTCCAGCATGCCAATGTCCCAGTCTAGGGCCCGTATGCTGTCATCAATTTTATCGTACGCCTCTGTGGCCAGCCGCAAAGCTTGCGTGCGCACGTCATTGATGTCTTGTTGGTGTGCAGACAGATCTGCGAAGTCCGCAGAAGACAAAAATGCCTGAAGATCTTCCGGGTTCGAGTCCTGAGATAATCACAGCGAAAGAGGCGTGAGGACAACGGATGACAAGGTCGCCACGTGGACAGCACTTTCCTGCCGCACAGATTCTCGGTGGGCCGCTCATTTCAGCTCGCATTATTATTCAATTCTACGCTGTCTTATCCCTTCAATCCCCACTCACTTTGCTTGTGAGGAGCTTGCTTGCCATCTCCACAAGAGCGTCTTCCTTACGCCAGTACTCATCGCGTTTTTCTGCTACCTCCTGATACAAATATATTTGTCGGGGATCGTGGAATTAGTACATTTGAAGATGTTTTATAACGACGAGATTCTCAATGGGGGAAAACTTTGTTATAAGAACGATGTGAACATTTTTTTTCGTGCGAGATACTCGACTTACTCCATCAGAAGTCTAAATTAGGAATAAGATCAAAGGATCATGAGGTGGGGAAACTTGTGCCATACCTTGTCAATGCTGCGTAAGACAGACAGTCTTTGCCGGTAAGTTTCAGCGCCAGGAACCAAATGTCTGCTTACGAATGAGGCAGGGTATATTGCGCTGATACCAGCTCCGGATAGTCGCGCGTCTGCAACCCCGTCACTGCAGGAGGACGACATCGCCTAGCAAGATTCAGCTGTTTTAGGAGCATTACAACGGTACGTAGGGTGACCGGTGGCCAGATAGTCAACAAGTACATGCAAGAGGCAGTGAAGAAAAACCAGCGAGTGGGAACCTCTCGCCACGGCGGATGGGAGTGGGAGGAGCCATAGGACTGAAGTTAGAAACATCACCTGGGCTGGCACGGATAGCTCTCACATTTTTCTGTTAAGGTAGAACAGCTGATGGTTCCTTTTATCTATTTCGCTGGAATGGGACAACGCGTTTTGTTCAATTACGTGGGAGACGAGGGTGCGTATTGCATCATATACATGGAGGACGAGTGTACGTTGGCAGCGACAAACACATTTTTGTTCTTCGCGAGGGGAAACATGCACCGCTTTTGAATTGCAGGCGAGTAAGGCACTATTTTCCAACATCATCGTATGCAAGTACACAACTGACAAAGCTGTCCTGCGCATTTTATTTTCTTCTCTGCTGAATCCTATTTTTACGGCCAAAAAATAGCTTGGTGCGAAGCAGGCAAAGTGGCCCATCCTCCCATCGACGACTTCCTTATGACTGTGTCTTCCTGTACGAGTCTTTTGCGAAAATCTTCAAATTCAACTTCACAAGAAGAGAGCGTCCGGGTCGTTGTCCGTGTGCGACCTTTGAGCCAGAAGGAGCAAAATGATGGACGAACTATGTAAGTACACGAGGAGATGACCCGTATTTGTTGTTCTTTCAAGTTGTCCTTATGGCGCCCGACCACACATATACCCGATCTACAAATATTGAATATCACTTTACATTTTAGCATTGTTCAAGCGAACGAAGCAGCAGGTGAAATCGTAGTACAAGACCCAAGCGACATGATGTCAGGAAATGCAAGCAGTGTTTCCAAATCTTTCAACTTTGATGCCGTGTTTGGGGAAAACAGCACACAGCGCCAAGTTTACGATATGTGTGCGGCACCTATTGTAGAATCTGTGCTGAATGGTTTCAATGGAACCATATTTGCCTATGGTCAGACAGGTACCGGGAAAACGTACACAATGGAAGGAGAGAGTATTAAGTCGTCTCAGATAACGTCGTCGGCGGAAATAGAGAAAGGGATAATTCCCAATTCATTTCAGCACATTTTTGACCGTGTAGCTGTCTCAGTGAACCAACAATTCCTAGTCCGGGCTTCGTATCTCGAAATTTACAATGAAGAAATTCGAGACTTACTTTCCAAAGACCCTCGAAACAAGCTAGAATTAAAGGAGCACCCTGATAGCGGAGCATTCGTCAAGGATCTTAGGACAATTCTCGTTAGAAATGTTGCAGAAATCAACAGAGTCATGCAAACCGGGAAGCGCAATCGTTCAACAGGAGCAACACTTATGAATCAAGCCTCGTCTCGTTCGCACTCGGTCTTTACGGTCATTGTCGAATGCGGCGCAATTGATGAAGACGGGAGCCATGCCTTTCCATCGAATGGCTCGGATAAGCAGCAGCAAGTTATACAGGTCGGTAAGCTTAATTTGGTAGATCTCGCTGGCAGTGAACGGCAAGGCAAGACTGGTTCAACAGGCGATCGCTTCAAAGAGGCGACCAAAATTAATCTATCTTTGTCTGCACTCGGCAACGTTATCTCGGCGCTCGTTGATGGCCGGGCTCACCATATACCGTATAGAGATTCTAAACTCACGCGTCTACTTCAATCATCACTGGGCGGAAACACCAAGACAGTCATGTGTGCCAATTGTGGACCTGCCGACTACAACTACGATGAAACTCTTTCAACACTCAGGTATGCCAATCGGGCCAAGAGTATCAAAAACAAACCGCACATCAACGAAGACCCAAAAGATACAATGCTTCGAGAGTTTCGGGATGAAATTTGTCGGCTGAAGGAACAGCTAGCCGCCCAAGATAAATCAGCTGCGGTTCGGGTCGGAAGTAGCATCACCTTAGATAGCTCTGCCCAATCCAAGAATGACGGTGAATTTAAAGAAGATAGGCAGAACAATGGCAGTGGTACTGAGAAGCAATTGCAAAAGGCGGTAGCAAAAGCAG